TCTAAGATATTTACTATCCGGCTCTTTACAAAAACTTTGCCCACCGTTCGTCTTGGGTCCTAGTCCACGGGAGTTAAGATACTGGTCTGTGGGGCGCCTGGCCGGCTCAGTTGGAAGAGCATGTGACTCTTGATCTTGGGGTTGTGAGTTCAACCCCAAATTAGGTGTAGAAAGGACTAAGAATAAAAATGAATTTAAAAAAATTGCTGGTCTTTTGGCTCTTACAGAAACTGAAGTGGCTTAAACATGATCCACTTTCTCTCGAGTACGACTTAAGAAGGGAATACTCCCCAGCTGGTAGAATAGCCCTGTCATCCTTAATATAGGGCTTCATCTCCAAGGCAACTGCTCTCCCACTCCCGACTCGGTCAACCACTGGGAAGCAGAAGTAGGGGAGGGGCTTAAGGCATCCCTCCCTCAGGCCATGTCCTGCCCCACCCCCAAGCAGAATCCCTGATGACTCCTGGGATGGAAGCAGAACTTGGTCATGGCCACATCCTGCATCAAGGAGGGCTGGGAAGTCCTTTCCAGAAGGACAGCCTCCTGCCCAGCTGAACTTGGGAGCTCCAATAGGCAGGCTGCTTTCTGGGCGATGAGTCATCTCTGCCAGAAGTGGGCATCGTGCCGTGCAAACAAGAGAATGAAGGGTCCTTCTCACCAGGGAAGGGCAGGTCATGAAAGGGGGAAAGGGGTGTGCTGCAAGCATGGAACAGTGCCAGGGTGGACCGAGAAAGCTGTCGGAGACTAGACTAATAATCTATTGGAAAAATACAGAGCGTGTTGGGGATACAGGAAGTAGGCAAGGCCCTGTCCTTGGGGTTCAGAGTCTGTGATCTATCCAGAAGGGGGGGTGGACAGATGGCTTCCCTATTGGATGATTAGGCTATTTGTGTCCAATGCAGATGTTCTAGTTGTCTGAATCTCTTCACCAGTGGCAAAATAGGAGAGGGGTCTGGGTGTTCACAGCATCTCTCCCTCAGGGCATGACCCCGAAGGTAGTATCCCTCATGATTCATGGAATAGTGAGAGTGAGCTAATGGTGGCTTTAAAACCAAGGTATTTCTATCCTGTGACCATCCAAATTAGGTATGGTGGACAACCCCCATGGTTCCGGGGAGTCGGGCTCTTCCGTTGTCCCTTTGACACCCCGAGGATGTAGCTCACCTAGGCATGGGCTGAGGAGGCTTCCTGCCCCTTCGAGGTACATCCTGGAAGCTACATGTTACCTGGGTTCATGTCTGATGGGCCAAAACTTCATCACGTGGCTACTTTTAGCTGTGGAAATGGAGGCTGACAAAGTCTTTGGCCAGCTTATAAAAGGTTGTTTACAAAAAACCCAGAACTGATACATGGGCCAGATGGCATCCCCGACAGATCTGAGAGGCAGGGGCGGTGACGTGTGCAGGTGATCATTTAAGGCTTCAGCTGGACCTTTGCCAAATGGATAGAACAGTGGTTCTCAAAGCACTGTTTAGAGCTGCTTTTACATCTAAAAATCGAAGACTTTCCCCTCCCTCCACCCCAAGTTTGTGTTTTATCTACAGTTACTGCATTAGAAATTAAAACCACAGGCACCTGGCAGGCTCAGTCAGCTAAGCCTCCAACTCTTTGGCTCAGGTCATGATCTCCTAGTTCGTGGATCTGAGCCCCCATGTCAAGCTCTGTGCCAATGGTGCGGAGCCTGCTTCGGATTCTCTCCCTCTCTCTGCCCCTCCCCTGCTCATGCAAGTGCATGCACACACTCTTGGAGATAAACTTTAAAAAAAATAAAACCTTAAAATATCTGCTTAAAAGTAACAGCTGGGGTGCCTGACTCAGGGCATGCCACTCTTGATCTTGGGGCTGTAAGTTCAAGCCCCGCATTGGGTGGAAGGATTACCTAAAATCTTAAGAACGTCTCTCAAAACTTGAATAAAAACTAACTCCCCCAAAAATGTGACCAGGGGCATTATCTGTACCTTTGCAAATCTCCTTGTTGAAGTCAGCTGGATTCTTACACCTGTAGGCAGTCCATCACCATGTGTTTTGAGGTGTCGGAAGAAAATCTGGCCTCTCCCATGTGGTTGAGATGGGAATATTGATCGCCATTTCAGATAACGTTCTTTATTCTACCCAACCCGACAAAGGGTGGTTTCTTAAGGATTAGTTGCTGTGTAGAATCTGTAGCCATATCCACAACCTTTTCACACCGTTAAACTAAAATCCATTGTTGTAATTACTTTGGCTCTTAACCCCTGCTTGAATTTTTAGATGTCCTGCATTAGTCTCTTGAAAATACCGGTTGACCCACTCACGTGATTCTTCCAAATATTGACCCATTTCATAATCCTGTAGGGAAAAAAATCCCTTCATATTCTCGGCCTCCTTGGAAAAAAAAAAGTCTAAGAACCAGGAAGCTGTGCCCTCAGGGGAGGGACTCCATTCTGACGTCTCAACTTTGCGCTCAGAGCTGGGATGTTACCCTCGCCCTGTTGGTGATTTTCCTTGCAATGACAGGTTCACTTAGTTCCTTCTGAAGATTTGCCAGATGCCAGACCTGGGGCAGGAAAAAAAACCCGTAGTTGGTCTGCTCTTTGAAGTCCAAGTGGTGTGGACACCTAGCTTGCATCCCAGCCACGTGACGGTGCTTGTTCTCCAGACAACTGGGGTACTCGGGTTCACGGCGGAGTGCCTTCTGCATACTTCGTATTTCGCTACAAGTTGTTAAAAAAAAAAAAAAAAAAAAAAAAAAAAAAAAAAAAAAAACTTCAGGGGGAGTGGCTTAATCAGCAATTTGCGGCTGGGAGAAGCTACTCCTAAGTGAAAGGAGCTCTGTGCTCCCTGGGACGGCATGGGGTGAAGGGCATCCGTACTGCTGGCAGAGCTGATGATCGGTACTCGGGCACCTGCAGTTCTGCTCAGCGACTCCTGTGGCAGGTGTAAAGGTCAGCAATGAAAACAAAGTCCCCCCTTAGTCAAAGGTATTTCCATACTACTACAGGCTTTACCAGAAGAGACTCCGGGACCCCCGGGCACCCACGGACTGCACTTTGAGAACCGTAGAGGGTGGAGTTGGAGAGGCAAAGGCAGGAGGGTGGGGGTGCCGCAGGCACAGGAGTGGCTCGGAACGGGGCGGGGGGCCTGTGTACCCGGAATGTGGGCTTGCTGCGGACTTCTATTTGGGAAGAGTCAATTAGCAAGCTGGCTGTGATCACATTGGAGACTTCTTGGAAAACCAGACCTCGATCCTGGATCTTATTACCTTTATCCTAGAGCTACGTCTTCTCGAGGCTCCGGGGTGGCTCAGTCAGTTGAGATTAGGACTTTGGCTGGGGTCATGATCTCGAAGTTCATGGGTTTGAGCCCCACACCGGGCTCTTCACTGTCCGCAAAGAGCCTGCTTTGGATCCTCTGCCCCTCCCCACTCATCCGTCCTCCCTCTCTCTCAAAAATAAACATTAAAAAGAAGTCCTGTTTTGTCTATGTAGCCCAAATGCCAGTTTATCCTGGATGAAAAAGTGTTTAATGTTTTATTAGAGCGTGCAAGGGGAGGAGGGGGGAGAGAAAATCCCAAGCGGGCTCCGTGCTGTCAGCACAGAGCCCGACGTGGGGCTCAGACCCTCGAACTGCGAGGTTGTGGCCGAAATCCAGAGTCCAGAATCGGACGCTTGGCCAGCTAAGTCACGCACACAACCCTCTCCTGGGTGAAAATATTTAATCGAAGTGAAGATGGCCCCGTCCTGCAGCACGTCGTAACAGGAGTTGGGCTTAAGGTTTCTATTCTGAGGTTTTACTTCCTCACTTGGTGGCGGCAGCAGGTTAATCAGTCGTGAAAGGAGTGGAGGCGTTTTTCTCTTTTCCCTCTGCTAGCAGACCGTTAACTGAACGTGTGCACACTTTTCCTGGGAGCTTTGATAGAACATGCCAGCAATGCTCTCTGCTTAGGACTTGCAGGAGATGGAGGGGGGAGTGTCAATTAGGCTATGAGGACAATGTCCTCTCAGTGGCAACTAAGACTGCTCGGCCCCTTCCAGTGTCCCCCAGAGTCCATCACTGCTTCTCGCCTTGTCGTCTTCTGTCCAGGACCCGGCCGAAGCAGCAGCCTCTGTCCGGAACCTGCCAGATAAAGGCGGTCTTGACCTTTTTTTTTTTTTCTTTCCTGCCGTGGACCCTCTCCAGAATGTTTTTCAGTGCGATAAAATGACGTTAAGCTATATTTTAGTACAACTGGTCAGTGTTCAGGGGGAGACACAGAATCCGAAGCAGGCTCCAGGCTCTGAGCTGTCAGCAGAGAGCCCGATGCAGGGCTCGAACTGTGAGATCATGACCTGAGCCTAAGTCGGAAGCTTAACCAACTGAGCTACCCGGGTGCCCAGTGTGGTCTTCTACTAGACTAACCCTTTCTATTCCACACTAAAGACCAGAAGTGAAAGCATCACCTGGGATCTTGTTAAAAAGGCCGAATCTTGGGGCTAACCCAGACGTGATGCAAACTACGTTTTTACTCTTTAAGTTCGGCGCAAGAACTAGGAGATGGTGGTCAAAGGGTGCAAACCTCCAGTTCCGAGACGTACGCGTCCTGGGGATCTGACGTACGGTGTGGGGACTGTTCAGTTAACGTTACGTTCTCGAAAGTTGCTGAGCGTAGATCTTAAGTGTTCTCCCCACAAAAAAAGAATAATTCTCTGAGGTCAAGGAGGTGCTAACTAAACTTGTAGTGGTGATCCTTTCTCGATGTATTCTTATATTAAGTCATCACGTTGGATGCCTTAAGGTCCTGTTCGTTATATCTCCAAGCCGGACAAAACCGCCTAGTGATGCAGCCTTCCTCACCCCCGCATTAGTATGTGCAGGAACCCAGAAGAAACCCTGTTTAATGTCGGGTCAGCTACTAGATCCTGTCTTAATTGGGAAGTAGTGACGAGCATAAATGAGGCTTCAAGAGACCCGCAGGTATGAACATGGTTCCTGTCTATTGACCGGGGTCTCAGATCAATTATTAGTATGACTATATTATTAGTATAGCGTGTTGACTGCACAGTGGGTAGGAATGCTAACTTCCAGTTAGAGGTAGTAGAAATAAAAATTGCTTCCCGTATAAGGTCTTGGGCCCCCTAAACCTTGCCCGCAAGCCCTGAATTAAGAACCCCTGATCTGGAATGTTACTGGTCATCCCGGGCAAGAGAAACGTGTGACCAACCACACCCTGGCTGTTAAAGAGCCTTTGCCTGGGGGTGCCTGGCTGGCTCCGAAGAGCTGGTGACTCTCGATCTCGGGGCCGTGAGTTCAAGCCTCTCATTGGGTGTAGAGATTACATAAAACTTGAAAAAAGGATTTGCCTGACAGCAACACCTCAGCTTGAATTCTATTTCTTTGGGCGGCACAAGACCCATACCTAAGCCTATGGTCAGTCACGGGGCCAGGGAGGCAAAATTCTCCTGGGCGGGGGCGCATGGTGAATACTGGAGCAGTGAATCGTTCGCTTCGGGGTACATCTCTGACCTAGCGATTTTAGTGGTCGTTGATCTGTTTTCTCCTGGTTCAGACGTTGTAATTTGACCTATTCCTAAACCATTATCCTTGTTATTAAATCTTAATTTGATTGGGGTAAAGTTCTACGTAAGTCACGATGGGCTCGACGTCCTGCCCCCTTCCTCTTTCCCAGAGTCTGGTGGAATTGTTGTCAATCGGGTAGGTAGTCTTGTCTCCCACCCCCACCCTGGGGACACTGGTCAATAATCAGAAGACCTTTTTGACTCTTAACACTGGGAGTGGAGGTGCTCCTGGCATCTAGTGGGAGGTGGTCAGGGATGCTGCTGAACATCCCACAGTGCACAGGAGAGCCTGCAGGAAAGAACTAATTGACCAAAAAGGCGATATTGAGATTGAAGACCCTATGGTCTTGATATCTTCTCCTTGAGCAGATCTCCCTTCTTAACCGTTATATGTGTATACGGGTTAGCTGCTGCGTATCCTAATTTCTTCTAGTTTATTAAATTGCCTACGGTTCACCTTTAGCCTTTTGTTAACCGTGAACTCAAGTCTATAAACATTCCTCTGAAAACAGGGATAGGCTCTAGGTTTTGATCCATGGAGCTCTCCCTGTTCATCTCTAGGGAGCTTGTAATCTGATTTTGATTCTTGAACAAAAAGAGTTTTAAAATATGCTCTTGGGGCCCCTGGGCAACCCAGCTGAGCGTCTGGCTCTTGATTTTGGCTCAGGTCATGATCTCACGGTGGCGTGGGTTTGGGCCCCTCATTGGGCTCTGTGCTGGCAGTTCGGAGCCTGCTTGGGATTCTCTCTTGCCCTCTCTCTCTGCCCTTCCCCCACTCAAACTGCCTCTCAAATAAACTTTAAAGTAAAAAATATATGCTCTGACTTTTGGAAAACCGTTTGTGAAACCATATTCATTTCAGAAGTTTGAGTCCCATCCACTTGGTTTTATCTTTTCAGTATGAATTTCTCCGTGGCTTTCGCCATGATTTCTGTTTTGCCTAACAGTTGATACTCTTCTAGCACTTTTCCTACAATGTTTTTCTGTCCTAGAATATGTGTTTCCTACAATAGGTTTCTACTTGTCATTTTTATTTACCTTAAGAGCATTAAACTGACCCCTTAAACGCGTTAAAACTTTTAACAGGGAAACTTAATCCATTTATCTTTACTTATACGTAGTTTGATTTTTACTTGTGTTCTTTTGCCTCTCTTTTATGGTTCTCTTGTGGTTTGGAAGCAATAGTTTGCATTTTATTATATCCCACATCTTCCTTTTTGTTTCCTGATGTACACAGTTCAAGCGTGATGCCCTGAGTCATCAACTGGCTTTATTTTCTCTTCCCACTCCATGCTAGTTCAAGTATAGGACTCCATTTAAATAATTTCTGTAGAACTTTTGCAGACACTGCTCTCCTCTTGCTGCCATCCAGGGTTGTTGGAGGAATGATAAGCTGATCTGAGCATTTCTTTCTAATAGCTGGAAGATCTCTTCCTCATGCCTCTACATAAGCCATCTGAAGACCCGTGGCTGTCTTTCGTGTAGAGAAGTAACTGTTTTTTCTGTTCTGTCCTAGACCGTCTAGAACTGGCTTTCATGTCTTGTACTTTCCCCGTTGTCCTTTTGGGCAGCCTTCTGGGAGATTCTTTGGCTCCATCATCTAAGTCCTCTTGAGACCACCTTTCTGCTAGACAACTTGGAGTCTTGAGAGTCCTGGGAGAATAGAAGTGTCACGAAAATGAAAATGGTTTGCTTTTAGAACCTCAGGTTCGTGGACATGCCTTTTGTGGTTCTGGCTTTCCCCCTAAGCATTTGTTTGTTGGGTAGGGTTTTTTTTTGTTTTTTTTTTAACCTGCATATGATCAGTCTGGAGTGGTTGTAGGGGAGGGCTGGAGCACTCCTCGGAGGAAATGTTCTGGCAATAGGGTTCTGTTCTCCAGAATCTCTCTGGCTCCTTGAGGCCTTTGCACTGTTGCTGTGGTTGTCAGTACCCCCACTTTCTAATAGCCTGGGGGTAGACACCGTTGCTGCTGTGGTTTGGTAGAAGTAAGGGAGGGAGTCATCCCGATCATTCTGTGTGGTTCGTCAGCTGCTGAGCCAGAAAGCTGTTCTAAGATCCCTACACCTGAACTTGAATACTTCTAATAATCCCTCGCTTTCTCCCAAACCGGGTTTGCCCTATGATGTTCTCCTTCAGTCTGATTTTAGCTCATCTGTTTCTTCGGATTCCTTAAAATTTGTGAGCCATCAACGAAGAGCCCACCTTCTCGTGTCCCAGTGCGCTGAGCTATGGTATCTTCCTATCTGGGCATTTGGACCGAAGAAAGAGGCAGACCCCTATGCCCCGGCTCCCATCTTGGTCAGATCTCTTTGCCACCCTCTTCATAGAGAAACCCTTAACCCCTTGAATCTTCCTTATGTGTTTGAAGGAGACAAACCACACAAGTGTGAGTTCTGTGACAAGTGCTTCAGCCGGAAGGACAACCTGACCATGCACATGCGTTGCCACACCAGCGTGAAGCCCCACAAGTGTCACCTGTGCGACTACGCCGCCGTGGACAGCAGCAGCCTCAAGAAGCACCTGCGGATACACTCGGACGAGCGGCCGTACAAATGCCAGCTCTGCCCCTACGCCAGCCGCAACTCCAGCCAGCTCACCGTGCACCTGCGGTCCCACACAGGTAGGTCCCTGGCCTTGGAAACCTGTGCCTTACTTGTTACCTAGCCTCTTAACCTTCATCTCCTCAAAACACAAGCATCTGAGGTGATTTGATGGTCCAAGCAAAAGAATTGGAATTTTCGGTGGTTTTTCACCAAGAAGACAACTTCCAGTAACACATGGAAGTCGGACAGCTGGGTTCTCTAACTTCATAGACCACAGCTGGGGAGGAATACCCAAGACAGCAGTTAAGCAAAGGCTGTGTCTCCAGAGTCCGATGTATAAAGTAGGCATTTCCGTCATTGTACAGAAACCGATTCCATGCCTTAATTCAGAAATGTGACAAAATTAGTTGACGGGAACTGCAAATCCCAAGTTTCTAGTTTCTGGAAATCAGACTTTGCCACGAGCTTGCTCTTCCCCTGGTGAGACCCCTTTTGAATAACAATAGAACCAGCCAGCTCATGGTGGCTCAGGAAAAATGGGGGTTGGGAAGCTCAAGAGGCTGAGAAAATTAGACTTTTCAGTGAATTCGTAGAAGATGGTGAGCAGGCTGAAAATGCTGACATCTGAAACTAAGTTAATCAGTAAATAAAATTCCAGCAGACAAATGGGAGGCAGACATAGAGTTGGGAGCCCATCCTTCCAGCCAATGTCTTACTGCCCTGAGAGCTCTGAACTTGAAACTGGCATGTAGACCTGCCAAGGCCACATAGCTCAGAGGAGAAGCTAAAGCCGATTTGGCAATATGGCCCCAACTGCCCAGTGGCAGATAAAACCCATGACACCTATGTCTAATCCTAAATCAGTCTACTCTTCCTAAATCCAAATATCAATTGTGGATTATGAGTCACGGCAGGAAACGAGTGATCTAAAATGCACCAAAGCGAACCAATCCTGGAGTTAACCAAGTACTTGGGTAATCGTTTCCATCCTAATTGGTATCTTCCCACTAGCAGAAATGTTGCATCCAAGACGAGTTCTATGAGAAGGCAGTGAGAACAAAGTATGAATTAAAACGAGAGCTGCTGTCTACAAAGGTAAAGAAATTTCCCAGAGATTAGATGAAAAAAATCTGATTTGTATAACTGAGAATAAGAAGTTGGAAGTTCGGTGTCAGTAACTAGGCCTAGGAAACAAAGAAAACAGAAGTGAGAAAATCAAATGAGAAAGAATTTCCCAATTCTAGACAGCTGTGAGAACGGACAGGGTTCACAAGGTTCCAAGCACAGAGGGGGTGGATGGGGAGCATCAAACCTAGGAAAACTTCTCAGTGGTGTTGGCTTCTAAGGGGATAGTGGAATAGTGTCCTCAAAGCTGGGAAAGGATTTTGAAGGAAGAATTCTATACCCAGCTAAACTTCCCGAAGTATGCAAGTAGAAAGTAGGCACAATCTGCAAGAAGTCCAGACTTCCAGCCAGTCTGCTCGTGGAAGTTACTGGAAGATAGGCTGTTCTCCAGGGAAGAAGACCTAATTTGGCATGAGATATTTGATGTATATTTGAATATAGCTAACAGAGTTTGTGGTAAAGAAATCTCCAGATAATTCCTCTGTAGAAGGTTTAAGAGAAAATTCAATAAATCGGAAGTTAACCCACAAGAAATTTCCCGTAAACTGTTACATAATTAAAAGACTGGATGACTCTGAGATTATGGCAAGATTCTTTTTTTCCTCAGTGCATAGTCCAGTCAAGAATTAAGCTAAACTGTGAACCAAAGTAAGCATGAAAGAAAAGCGAATCAGTTTGACCTTGATACTAGCCCATGGCCCAGGTGTGACAGTAACCCTCTAAGGAGGTGGACGGAATTCTGGTCCAGTATTTGCCCCTGGTGAATATGACCTATACCCAGTCCTAAATTGTGATTTGATTCTAACACTGAAAACAGCTAGTTAAAGCCTGGGAATTCACTGGTCAGAATGCAAATGTTCTGGAACTTAAATGTGAAAATAAAGCTATCCTGACGAGTAGGAAGACATAGTGTGGTGAAGAGGAAGGAATCCTCAAGAAACCTCTCAAGCTGACAGACTAGAAGTCGGGAAGTTATTACCCAATGTAGGAGGTAACACCAGTAGAGTAAAACACCTACCCAATAATGGAGGGTAGGGGGAAGGATGGGTGTGTAGGATAAGTGAGATCCTCATCTTTGCTTAGGTTCAGCTGATAATGATTAAAGTAGGAACCTCCCAAAGCACTAAAAACCCTTAGCAGTGCCTCCAGAGTACAGAAGGAGGCTATGGATTTTCAGTACTTGTTGCTGGGCAACATATTCCCTCATTAATTTTGTAAGTAAAATTCAATCTAATGGTAAACTTTGGCTTATATTACTAAAGTTTCCTATCGATTGATATAATACAGCTCAAACGCTAGAGTAAGCGATTAGGTCCTGGTTGGATTTGGAACAACTGTAACCTAAATTGTACCCCTTCCACGTCCAACTTTGAGGCGTGAGAGTCAGATTCGAAAGTAAAGTGACCTCATGAAGAGCATGAACTTGGATATCATGGTGCCTGAGTTTAAATCCCTGCTGTTTGACCTCCCTAAGCCTCCATTACCCCATCTATGAAATGGGGGTTATGGTACCTACTCCTAAGATTGTCGTGAGGAAAAGAGAAGGTCACGGACGTGGTAAGTGGTGCTGTTAGGGAGTCACTGGTAGGTTGAGTTCAAAGACCCAACTGTCTCTGCGGCTACAGGTATTCTGACGTATGTTTGGGGGGAGCTCTTTCGCCTGCCCGCTCTAATGGAAACACACCTTCCGTTGTTAGGGGACACCCCCTTCCAGTGCTGGCTCTGTAGCGCCAAGTTCAAAATCAGCTCGGACTTGAAAAGGCACATGATCGTGCACTCGGGGGAGAAGCCTTTCAAGTGCGAGTTCTGTGACGTCCGCTGCACCATGAAAGCCAACCTCAAGTCGCACATCCGCATCAAGCACACGTTCAAGTGCCTGCACTGCTCCTTCCAGGGCCGGGACCGGGCCGATCTCCTGGAGCACAGCCGGCTGCACCAGGCCGACCACCCCGAGAAGTGTCCCGAGTGCAGCTACTCGTGCTCCAGCGCGGCCGCCCTGCGCGTGCACAGCAGGGTGCATTGCAAAGACCGCCCGTTCAAGTGTGACTTCTGCAGCTTTGACACGAAGCGGCCCAGCAGCCTGGCCAAGCACATTGACAAGGTGCACGGGGACGAGACCAAAACGGAGAACCGGGCCCCGCAGGGCAAGGAGGGGCCCCGAGGGAGCAGCTCCCAGCACGTGGCCAAGATAGTGACCCAGAGGGCCTTCCGCTGTGAGACCTGCGGCGCCTCCTTCGTCAGGGATGACTCTCTGAGATGCCATAAGAAGCAGCACAACGACCAGAGTGAGAACAAGAACTCGGACTTGGTCACCTTCCCACCCGAAAGCAGTGCCTCGGGGCAGCTCGGCCCCCTGGTCTCCGCGGGGCAGCTTGAGACACCCCTGGAGCCCAGCCAGTGCCTCTAGTTCAGCCAAAGAGGGTGGTCAGCTGTCTGGATTCCAGGCAAATGCCCTCCGAGTTGAGGCCGTCAAGCCAGACTTGAGCTGCCAGCTCCGGGGACAGCCGCCCCAACTTTCCAGGCCCTCGAGGCAGTGGCCGCAGTCGCTGGCATGAGAGGCAACGCCAAAGCCCCCGTGTGGAGACTGCCCTCCACGTTGCCGTCTAACCTCCGAGCGTCGTCTAAGCAAGCGGACCCAGGCGTCCCGAGGTGGGGGGGGGGGTGTCCATCACGCACGGCTCTATCCGGTAGGGATGGTTTCATGATGGTTTCTGATCCTAAAACGAATCCATCTCTGATGGGATTATTAAACTACTTAGACGACATGGAAAACCAAACTGATGCAAACAGTGGGGAAGGTTAAGAGGACAGCGGGGTATGTGGGGGGGCCTGGGGCGGCTGGAAAAGTTCTGTTTCTTAACCTGGGTGGCGGTGACGAGTGTTCGCCTTATGCGCTCGTGTGGTCCCTTTTTAGCGTTGTCTTCTAATAAACAGGCAGACTCCTCTGTGGGATGACGTAAGAGGGACGGTCCATTTTTGTCTTTACGCCCTTGCAGTAGAGAGGTTATGGCATGGGGTGCCCCAGCCCGTTGGGTAACGCATTCTGAATGCACACGGGCTTTCTCCAGGTCTCTGCTTCAGGGAAGTGAAACGCAGTTGGATCTGTAGGTGGCACCAAAGGTCAAGCTAGCACTCCCTGCGCCTGCCATACGCATTGCGAAACTCCGCTTCCGTGCTTCGTGAAGAAAAGACTAGGGGCCCAGTGGGGCCCCAGCTTGGTTCTGGGACACGTGATGGCCGGAGCTTAGAGTCTCCTCCCAGTAAGCACTTGGTATTTGCTGCGCCAACAAGTGGAAACCCCACCCTCTTGTAGATGGACATTTTGCTTGGCCAAAACTTCGGAGGGCTCTGGAAAGGCCAGTGGATATGTAATTGATCCAAAGCTGTTTTGTCCTTTGACACCTTTCCTCACATCCGGTCTTTGTGCCCTCATCTAGTTAGACGTCTGTGCTTTTAAAACCAATTAAGTCGATCCATTGTTTTTGGTAAACTAAGAAAAAAGGACGTGAGAATTTTTATAGATTGTTTACAGGGGAATAAATGGTTTACTTATGAAATAGCAAGAGGTATGTAGCTTACTTTGTTATGCGTTCTGTTGTTTGAACGTATCTGATTGAGGTGTGGCATCGGGTGAATGATAAAACCCTGTCGGACCTCTTTGTTGCCAGAAGAAAAGATGAAAATGATGGAAACGCGTGATAGAATTAATCCTTGCTTTGCGTCTGTGGTTTTCCACTGTTCAAGGGAGTGTTTGGTTAGCGAATGCCAGTGCATTGTACTGATGCTGTTGTCACATTTCTGCTGTTTGTCACGAGTCTTATCTGTGTTTCTGTTCTAGTAGCAGGGGGCTGTTGACCTTTCAAGTGGGAACCCATAGATCGAAATCATAAACGTTCCTCGAACTTTTGGTATCACAGCTCTTCAGATACACAGGAACAGCCTTTTTGAGAAGGCCTATTTTTTTCCCCCCATTTTGTATGGACTTTCAGAGGTCCAAGATCCACCCTGGGTATCGTCCAGCAATTTGGATTCCCTATAGGGCAGAGGTCAGCAAAGACTTCCGGACCAGACGGTAAATATTGGAGGCATCGTGGGGCCATCAGGTCTCCCTTGTGACGAAACTCTGGTTTTAGCACAAAAGCAGCCATAGACTCTAAGAAAAAGAATGAACTTGTCTGTGTTCCAATAAAACTTCATAACGTAGGGGCGCCTGGCTGGCCCAGTTGGAAGAGCATGTGACTCTTAGTCTCAAGGGTCGGGGGTTTGAGCCCCATGGGGGGTGTAGAGATTACTTAAAACTTTAAAAAAGAAACTTGATAATTCAGGAGGTGGGAGAGTAAACTGGCTATCCCTTCCAGGATGAGACTTCAAGCGGACAGTCAATACCAAAACTACGGGAAACCTCCGTGACGGTGCAGACCAGTAAAGCCAAGTTTCTGTGCCTCGGTTTGCAAAGTCCCTGTTGGTCTGAAGGGGGGAATTGAGCGTGTTGGCAGTTTGACTTCACCTGGACTAGGAGTTGGTGAGCTTTCTCAGTCAAGTGCCAGATAGTAAATATTTGGGGCTCTGCCGGCCTTTGTCTCTGATGAAACTATCGCACTGTGTTCCCTTATGCTGTTGTAGCACAACAACTCCACTCTGCCATTGTCACTGCAGGAGCCAGAGGCGATAGGTGAGCAAATGGGCGTGGCCATGTGCCGATAAAACTTTATTTACAAAAAGGGCCATGATTTGGAGGGCCAGAGTTTGCTGACCCCTGGGCTGGACTACTGAGTGCAAGCAACGGGGTAAGTGATTATGGGTTGAAAACGTGGAGAAGAGCTACTGAGGTGGCTAAATGTCCTGGGATCCCTTCGAGGAAGGGGCTATTTCACTCAACAGATGAGTTCAAGGTGGCAGGCACTGGGGAAAACTGGATCCTCCTGATTCTTCTTCAGATGGGCTATAAAATCTCCAGGGAGGAGTCCAGAAATCAAGATGATGACCTCATGTTCTTGTCTGCTTATGGTTTCTTGCTGCCTTCTAAACCCTATAGACCATGGATTTTTTTGTTCCTGCATTTAGCTCCTTTCTTAAAAGGATGGACCCCCAGTCCTCTTGCCGTGGCCAGACCTTGTGCTAAAACTTTACCTGCGTTCCCTGATCTCTCCCAGTGCCATCCAGAGCTGGGACTGGAGTCAGGGAGTGGGAGGCACTTGCCCAGAGCCCCAAAAGCTACATAACCGACAAATATTTTGATCGGCGAGCTACGGCGCTGAGGTCAGCCACTTTGTTTTTGTGAAGTGGCATTAGAAGTTGGCCTGGGACTTAGGGCAAGCCATCGGGAGCAGACTTGGATCCTATCTTTAAAATTGCATTAAAATACTGACCTTTGATCAGTGAGATGGTTGGTACCACTTTGCATTGGCACCTGAGGGGACCGCCTCACCCACCGCACCCTGGTTCCTGCTTCTTGTCCAAATGCAAAAACCGAAACACAAAGGTGAAGGAACTTCCTGGAACAGACTTGGGTTTCAGCCGCTGGCAGGGTAGCTCCAGAATCCAAGTTTTTAACAAGAGTGCGAGGCTGGGTCTCGGAGAAAAATCTTGTTAAGCTAATAAGTTGACCTGAGCCGGGGTGATGACCACCATCCCCAGGAAACCTTTTGATGTAAGCGAATGGGGTTGAGGAGGAAGGATGCGAGGAAGGCCAGCCTCTGGCAGTACTATGTGGCTGACCTCCAGCCAGAGACTCAGATTCTCAGTTTGCTCCTCTGCATGTGCCGCTTCAGGCGTTTGGCGTAATGATAAAAATCAACCGGCTTAGAACAAGACCGAGGTTGACTTACCTGTTTGTCCTTTTCTTGTTCAGGGGGGAGGCAGAATGGGGAATGACCAAGAACTAGCACTGTAGCTTCTGACGTTGGGGATCGTGGCTTCTGTCTTCTCACCCAGGCTGGATCTTCAACGTGTAGTCCAAGATGGCGGCCCTTAAGCTCCCACCAGGTGGAAAAGGCCCATCCCCCTTCCCCTTAACACTACCGAGAAGTTATAGGTAAACTTCTGCTCGCCTCCTTTAGTTACGTAGCTGGTCACACGGTAGTGAAGGGTGCCGGGAGGTGGTGGCTCTGGAAGAGGCTGTGCCAAGTTAAAACCTGGAAAGAGACCCCAGATCGTGAGTGTTCTCTGACCAGTAATGCAGTCACGCGGCCTCCTAAAAGTTGCAGGTGACTTTTCTAGGAACCCCCTGGTCTGGATCCTGAACCCTCGGTGTTCTCCACACAAACACTTCTATCTTATCAGGGTTTATTGGCCTTCATCCAAGGTTTTCTGTCACCCTAGTCCAGTGGGTCTCCACCGTGGCTACAGTCACCTGGGAAGCCTTTAGGTATTCGGAATCTATCTTGGGGCAGGGGGATTGGTATCTCTTGGAGTTCTGCAGGTGATTCTAAGGTGCAGTGGGACAGCTGCTCCAATTCGAAGACCTGCCACGTATGCTTTCACAGAGGGGCCAACGCTCGACTGTTCTTGCCGTGTTGAAGTTCTTAATTTTTTTTTTAATGTTTATTTTTGAGAGAGAGCTGGAGTGGGAGGGGGGAGGGGGGAGGGAGACCCAGAATCCAAAGCAGGCTCCAGGCTCTGAGCTGTGAGCACAGAGGCCGATGCAGGGCTCGAACTCGTGAACCGTGGGATCATGACCTGGGCTGAAGTCGGACGCTTAACCGACGGAGCCACCCAGGCGCCCCTTTTGAACGATGTAGGCTTCGATTACTGCATTAAATAAGCTCTAGCAGCAGATCTAGTAAGTGCTCTCCCTTTGCAGTAGTGATGGTGTTTCAAGATCACTAGAGCCGTGATGTTAAAATGCCTGATTTCCTTTGACTTCATACCCGGAATTGACGGGCTCGGTTGGAGCCTAGTGCAGGAAGCTCCTCTTTCCTGTCCGAATCCCGGACCTCCTGGATTCCATCCGTGGTCCCTTGATCCTATATGAAGACCACTAGTGCTGATGCAGTTTCTGGGATCTGGTGTCCATGGTGAACTTGCACGTCTGTCATAACTTGACCTGGTAGCACCAGCATTTGAAAACTGGTCCCCCCCTCCCCGTACCCCTGCTCAAAACACCTTGCATTAGGAGGCTTCACCAAATGGGTTCCTTGTACCGTCTTTTTCTGATAGGCTGTTCTTTAAGATGACTCAGCGCTCACATGTCAGTCTAAGGGACTTTGGCCCCTAGAAAATACCTTGTACGTTCGTCCGACCGTTCTGACGTTCTCAAGACACTGCTCGCACTCAGGTTTTATCATCTGTTTCTTGGAAGGCTGCAAAAGACTGGCTTCAGCCTAATACCAAAGGTAGGCTTTTTGCCCAAGGCTGGGAGGGTAACCTGTGAATACGGAACGGTTAATTCTAGTATTCAGCCTGGTG